CACCGGGAAGTGAGTCGCGGCTCTGCGCCCAGGCGCGATGCGACTCTTGCCCGCTTTTCGGCAGGCTCGCTCGCGCGTTGCAGATAACGTCCAACCCCCACTGTCGCTGGCGCTGCCCCTCAACGGAGGATAACGACGCACCCCAACCCCCTCTGGAACCCCCACCAAACGTGCGCACTGTGCCCGCCCGCCGGATGATGCGCGGCAGACCGACACCCGCCGGCCCCGTATGCTGCAGGGTGTTCGTATCTGTTACAAACATGAAGCTGCACGCCCGTCGCGTTCACGCAGGAGTTCCGCTTCCCCAGAAGGGCCTCCAGTGCGGCTACTGCGGGAACGGCAAACTATTCTTGACGAGTGCCTCGCGCGCGGGTCATTACCGTAAATGTCAGGCGTACCAGCTGGCAAAAAGCGCGCGGGGCACAGTTGCGGAAGGCCCGGAGGACCCTCGCCCTTATGGGATCCTCACGGCACAGAACCCACAGGCCGATGTGACCCCGGACGGGCCCCGGGAGACCCTGTCGCATCTGATGTGGGAGATCCCCGTCTCCGTCGGCTGAGCGTGCGGGTGTTTTTGGGGAGGCCCAACCCCGCCAAACACCCCCGCTCGAGACGGCTAAAGTGGCCTGGTTCTGGTGGGCAGACCGGGGGCCGTTGCCGGTAATTGGCTGAGATTTCTGGCGAAAAAAAAAGAGGGAAACGGAAGGGAGTATTGGTGGGGAGTACGCGCGGAGCGCCGGGGCCTTTTCGGGGCGCCCGGAACCGAAAAGGGTTTGGTTTTAGAACCGATGCGCGTCGAGAGGCCGGAATCTAAGCAATCACGCTTTCGGGATGGTTTGTTGTTTTGATTTGCGCTTGTTTTTTGGCGAGCGTGTCTTTTTTAGTTATCGTATCACGGCGACTTCTCTGTCCATTTTTTTTGTTTCGGTGGGGCCTGGGTTGCGCGCGGAAACTGAGCTGGGAGGATGGCACGGTAAGCGTGAACGCGTTATTTTTCCTTTCTTTTGGGCGAGGGACATCGGCAGTCATTAGTTAGCGCGCAGTGAGGAAATTATTATTAATTATTGATTGCTGTTTCGCCCCGGACCTGGAGCACACATTCTCTCTGGCCCCTCTTCTTTTTAGAAAGTGTCTGTCAGTCATAACAGCAAATGAGCTCTAAGGTAGCTTGCATAACAGGGGCGAACAGGGGCATCGGTTTCGAGATCGCCAAAAAACTTGCTTCGCAAGGATTTACAATAATTATGGCTTGCCGCAATGAAAGTTCCGCCAATGTGGCAGAACTTGAGTTAAAGAAATCCTTGGAAGGGGTAAAGGTTGCGCATGTCTGTGTTGATCTTGCTGCTCCCGAGACAGCCACAACTGCCGCATTAAAGGTTGGTGAAATGTTTCCAGGCGGGATTGACATTATGGTTAACAATGCCGGTTTTGCGTATCATCATGACGCCCAGGAGCCATTCTATCAGCAAGCTATGGATTCGATCAAGATAAACTATTACGGAACCGTTGCTGTATGTGAGGCCATGCTTCCCCACATAAAGAGCGGGGGGAGGCTGATTAATGTATCCTCCATGTCTGGAAGTTTACTGCGTCTTTCAAACGAGAACTTGGTTGCCAGATGGAGGGGGTGCGTTTCAAAACAAGACATCGAAGTTTTGTTGCAAGAGTTTGTCGATCTCACCAAGACGGATGGAAAACATCTGGCCGCTGGATGGCCCAATTCAGCATACGGCGTAAGCAAGCTTGCCGTGACAACATATACGCGTATACTTGGTCGCTCAACACCGGGGATACACATTTTTTCATGTTGTCCTGGTAGTTGCCGAACTAACATGTCAACGTTCACTGGTGAGAAAACCGCCGAGGAAGGAGCTGACACACCAGTTTGGCTTGCTGTTTCCCAAGAGGCACTACAAACGGTTCCACAGGGCGCTTTTGCAACAGAACGTCACTACATACGTGAATAAGATGTACATAATTGATTTTCATTCTATCTCTTTCCTTGTTTTTTTTGTTTTACTTTTGATGCTTGATTTTTGATATATACATATATATATATCGCCAACTTGTGTGAGA